ATTCTTTCCTTAAATGTGCACTCATAGGTCTTTATAGATACAGACCTTGTATCCCAAGGTATTATACGTTGCATCAGTTAGGAATTATGTTCGGCTGTCATTAAGAAACCCATGATTTTTCTATTTCATAAAAGAAATCCAGAGGTAGGCAGTTCATTATTGTTATGGTGGTTACTTTCATCTTTCTGCTCTATTTTCCAAGCTCAAGCTTTCCCTTCATAGCTTGAGGTTTCCTCAGTGTAACAAAATGGTTGATGAAGTTCCAGGCATCACATCCGTGTCCTAGGGAAGGATGAATAAGAAAGTAATACAAAATGGCCTCTTATGAGGTCTTAGCGGCCTCATAAGCACCATCTTTCTATCTCCCTCACTCCAGTGCATGCACATACACACACACACACACACACACACACACACCCAAGGACAAAATTATGAAACTTTCCAGAAAGCCCCAACCAGCATCTTCAACCTCCATACCATTTGCCTATGTATAGTCACATGGGCACCCCTGTCTGAAAGGGAGGCTGAGAAATTACATTTTTCCCCATTTGAATACATAGCTACCCCCAATAAAACCAGGTTTTGTCACTTAGAATGAGGAGATAGGTTGTGTGATAGACAACTTGCAATCTCTGGCACTTTTTCCCACTTTTTTTTTTTCTTTATCTGTATCTTTACCTAGATTGTAAAATCTTGGAAGGTTTAGAGTATGTCACATTCATTTTGTATTTCTAGAGCCTAGCACAGTACAAGACACTCAGTGGTTTACTGTTTATTTCCTTCACTACAATATGAAGGTTTATTCTGTGTAATCTGCCTGGATAGAGAAGAGTCCATGTTTTACCAGAATAATTTTTTGTGCTTTATGTAGACTTTATTATGTCCTCAATTATTTAAGAAAACAAATCTTTCTTATTTATTTAAGGGCCAAGATTCTTGACAATCACATTACCTTCCATATTTATCTTTAAATGTCTTATTGTTCCCTTCAAATGAATAGCCAAATATTGTTTCTTAGCACCAACTATCCTATTTTTTAAAAGATTACTTATTTATTTATTTGGCAGACAGAGATCACAAGTAGGCAGAGAGGCAGGCAGAGAGAGAGGAAGGGAAGCAGGCTCCCTGCCAAGCAGAGAGCCCAATGTGGGGCTCAATCCTAGGACTCTGGGATCATGACCCAAGCCGAAGCCAGATACTTCACCAACTGAGCCACCTAGGCACCCCTCAAGGCCAGTGGTTCTAATTGAGGATGCACATCATACTTAATGGAGTTCCATTAAAATACGGTTTTTTGTACTTGTTCCAGACTTACTAAATCTCTTTATTTGATATTGTTCATATTCCATCAATATGTATTCTCCTATATGTTTGGTATATTCATAGTATAGAATGTACATTATATCTCTATTATTATAGGATATATCTTAAGGTTTTTTTCTTTTTTTAAAATTTTATTTATTTTAACGAGAGAGACACAGAGGGAGAGGGAGAGAGAATCTGAAGAGACTCCATGCTGCATGTGGACCCCAGTTCAGGGGCTCAGTCCCACAACCCTGAGATTACAACCTGAGCTGAAACCAAGAATCAGATGCTTAACAAACTGTGCCACCCAAGAGCCTCAAGATTTTTCCTTTATTAAAGTTATTTTCATTAATTTTTTGTAAAGAGGTAATATTCACCATCTTTATTGAAAATAGGCTCAGCAAAAAAAAAAAAAAAAAAAGGAAAGAAAATAGGTTCAGTAATTATCCTTATAGATATTTCATCTAAAACTTTGGGAATTGGCTTTATTATTGAGATTGTCTCTGATATCAAATATTTGGGCCCATTGGTTTGTCCTGTAGGAAAAAGGATCAGCAGGTAATTTAATTCAAGAAAGAAAAAGAAGTTAGGGGTCTCTGATTTGAGAACTGAAACCCTAACTACTTTAGAGGAATTCTGGATTTCTTTTTTCCTCTCCTCAGCCCTCTTGATTTCATGTTTTATAAGAGGTCCAGAAAGTGGAGCAAGTCCTACATGCTGTGGTTCAGAGCATAGCAAGCAGTTTAGACAATACCACTACAATGGCTGAATGGTAGTCCCTAATGATATTTCCACTTCTTCATCCCTGAAACATGTGACTATTACTTAATACAGCAAAAGAGTGAATGTTACTATATATGGCAAACAAAAATGTGAATAAATTAAGGATTTTGAGAGAAGGACCTTATCCTGGATTATCTGGGTGGGCCCTAAGTCCAAAGACAAATGTCCTTATAAATCAGAGACTGGGTAATTGGGAGAACAACCTCATACCTGGCTTGACAGACTCTTTGGATTGGGACTGAGATCTATTCCCTTGGTTTAATATGGGCACTTGGCTCCTGGCTGAGAAGTGAATCACAAAGTGTGGAAAGTAATACACTCAAGCTTTGTTTTATCAGTAGGTTGTGTTGGTGATCTTTGGGGAGCTAATTTATACATATTTATATATATTTATACATTTTATATATAAAATTTCATATATTTATATATTTTTTTTATATATATTTATACATTTTATATATAAATTTCATATATATTTATACATTATATATATTTATACATTTTATATATTATATATTTATACATTTAATATATAAATATATATATTTATACATTTTATATATAAAATTTCATCTATCTAGATGTAGATATAGATAGGTACAGATATGGATACATACACACACATATACATACATACACATCAATCACATGAAACAATTTACAGGGGTGTTAGAGCATTGGGTCAAATCTAATATATTTCTTTTTTTTTTTTTTTTTATCCAATAGTAACCCAAATGATAAAGACTGGTTGGCAGTTCTCAATCTTGTTCAGTCTCCACAACCCTTTCACAGCCCATCAGCTCTCTGGGAGGTAAATTATGCTTCTGAAGAAGGCAGGTCACCCCAGGGTGTCTTTCCAGCCCCAGACCCTCAGAGAAGGTAGGGAACTACTATATCCATGTTTTCAGAGAAATAGAAATTAGGAAAGATCTTGGTGGAGAATGAAAGGGAGGGATGAGTTGGGTAAATGCATTCAAACTAGGTACACCCAAGGGACAAACCAAACAAATTAAAGTGGGGCAAGGAGGAAGGATGCACAACAGTCATCAACTCCTAGTGGCTAAGAGCTTGGTAAGATGTATTAGTACATCATTACCTTATATTTAAGTAAACGTTATACACACAGTGCACATACCCTGTTTATTGCTCTCAGTATCTAATTAGTGTTTCTCAATTGAGAAATATATTGGACGGACCTCTTCAAGGAAAAAACATTCTCTTAGACTCAAGCATTTATGGAAATTCTTTTCATAATATTTCTTAAATGTAAACAAACATAAAACTAAATAGAAACTCTGCTGTTCATAAAGCTCTTATACAAATTTAACATCAAAGTAAATTTACAAATTGTGCACAAATTTAAAATGTTAATTTAATGGGGTACAGGATGTTTGCTGAGAGAAAACTGCTCTTAGACACCTAAACAAACTACTGACTGGCCAGCATGTGTTCTTGGCTTTCCACATGCCTGTATGTGAGTCTTTTGAGGACCCTGCTACCCCATCAATTTCCTTTTTCCAAACTACCAATCTTCATCTGTATAGTAAGCCATGAAGTAGGAGGTACACCTAATTTATTTTCTTACTAGCTCATGACAAAGTAGTATTGTTGCCAGTTTGTCAAAAACATGTCCTAACTATGTGGCAGCTGTTAGTTACCATTGTCACCCAGATACTCCAGGATATGCTTAAAATTAAATGTAAAAGTAAAACATACTTGTAAAAAACTCACAGACTCTGAGTACCTACATTATTATGCAGCACTTGACTATTGTTAAAGGGGACTAAGCCACTGCCCATTCAGGCTCCCTGGGAATGGTGCATTGGGGACCAAAAGTCAAACCATCTACACCCTCACATCGATGATTTTTAAATTAAATGAAAGAAAACAGGCACACTCAACAGTCAGGTAACCAAATAACTGAAGCAAGACCATATATACATTTTAAAGAAGGGGTTGAGTTGTTTTCATTATACGTTAAATTGTAGAACATGGCACAGGGATTAAGACTGTTTGGGGATTCTGTGTGACGCCTCCCCATTTCTCCAGCCTCCTTTCTCCTTCCCTCCCCCTGAGTTTTTTCACCTTTCTTCTTTTTTGCACCTAGTTTAGTTTTAGGTTTCCCTCAAAGTTCAATGTAATGAGTTTTTCCATAAAGCTAAATATATTTAGTGTTTTTATTAAGAGACTATGCCCTTATTATTTTATATGAAAATTTGCTTCCTTTTATAAAGTAGTAGCAGTTTAAAAAAATGGCCTTCATTTGGCAAAATAAGAAATTGGGAATCTTGTATTTTCCTCCAAATATTAAAAAAAATTTTTTACAATTCCAAGATCTGCAACCACTTGTCTGGAAAGCAGAGAAAAGAGAAAGAGACAGGAGGATAGAATGGTATGTGACACCTACTAAGCTGACTTAAGTTGAACAAGCTAAGCGCCATAATATTATTTCTACTGAAGCAATGGCAGGAATATGTAAGACTCATCTGGGAGTCAGGGAAGGCTTCACAGAGGAGGTAACCTTAGAGCTGGGGCTTTAAGGATTAGCAGGGGAGAACCGGCAGGGCATTCCAAGCAGAATGCATAATGGGAGCTAGAGCACAGAGCACAAAAGAGCACTACGTGTCCAGCAGCTCTGAATAGCTTGGTGGCTGTTATGTAGAATTCTCAGGGTTAGAAGATCAAGGGTGAAGCAGGGACTATCTTTTTTCTTACTTGGCCGATTTCCCCTACAGCTCATTGCACAGTGCTGGGCACACACTGCAGGGGCTCAATATAAATACTCACTGAATTGGGACAGGGTGGTCGAGTACGCTGGGAACCAGGGCATCTGGATTCTTTCTCACGCACTCGCAGTGTGACCTTGGCCAAGTCCCTTTTCTTAGGGCTGCCGCTTGCTGCTTATTAATCAGTCGTGGGTAAAAAAACAGAGGTGGTTGGCCTGAAGCGCAGGGCCTTTCCAGCGCGAGGAACCCCAGATTCGACCCTTGGAGGGCGGGCGGGCGGCGGTTCAATTCCTCCTCCGCTCCAGCAGGGGGCACAGGGAGCGGCTTCCCACCGCCTTTCTTCTCCAAGCGGGTGCCGGCGGATTGCTGCAGTTGCGAGCTGCGAGCGCGGTGGGCGGGGCGGCGGGGGCGGCGGCGGCGCTTCGCTGCGCTGCGCTGCGCTGACTGGGCTGGGCCGGGCAGCGGCCGCGACGGAGAGGGTTGCCGAGGCCACAGAGCTGCTAACGGGGTGGCCAGTCCGTTGCTGTGCCCTCTAGCAGCCTCTTAGCGCGGCCGGCATTCCCTGGGCGGCATCTGGCCGCGGCGCTCAGCCTGTTAGCGAGCTCCGGTGGGCACACCCCGACTTGGCGGCGGCGGCGGACAGGTTAGAGTGGGGGAAGGGGCAGGCGCGGGAGCAGCCCTGGGCCACAGAGGGAGCCCAAAGCCAGGCCGTCTCCAGCCATGTCCGACGAGACGTCGGCCACCACTTCATACGAGAAGTTTCTAACCCCCGAGGAGCCCTTCCCGCTTCTGGGACCCCCTCGCGGAGTGGGCACCTGCCCGAGCGAGGAGCCAGGCTGCCTGGACATCAGCGACTTCGGCTGCCAGCTTTCCTCTTGTCATCGCACGGATCCACTCCACCGCTTCCACACCAACAGGTATGAACCGTCGCTGAGGGCAGGGGCGAAGTGCCCACGCCCCTGCCTCAAAAGGGAGAACGCTGGGTCCCTCCCAAACCTGGCGCTCCGCCTCGGGTCTGCGCTTCCGTTCGTCCCCTCCCCCACCTTCCTCCGACCAGCGCTCCTTTCCTGGCTCCTTCCCTGTCCCCCTCCCTATTTTCACTCCTGCCCTCCGATTTTCCTTTTGGCCAGCATTTTACTTGCTCCCTTTTCCCCATTCATCTTTTGACCATAGCGACGCCTCCCTTTCCCCTCCTGCCTCATCTGTGCAGGGAGAATCCCAAATCCGCACCTTCAGTTTTAAGATGCATCCGTGTTTCCATCCACCCGAGAAAGTTTAACCCCTTCCATTTTCCATATGCTCTAGAGATTTCGGATGACTCAAAACCATCTATGGTTCTTTTGAAAGATGGCACTTTGAAAGCTAGAATCGTCAGTTTCCTGATTTTTTAAAAAGATTTTATTTATTTATTTGACAGAGATCACAAGTAGGCAGAGAGGCAGGCAGAGAGAGAGGAGGAAGCAGGCTCCCTGCCGAGCAGAGAGCCCGATGTGGGGCTCGATCCCAGAACCCTGGGATCATGACCTGAGCCAAAGGCAGAGGCTTTAACCCGCTGAACCACCCAGGAGCCCCCAGTTTCCTGATTTATAATCTTCCTCACAGCCCAATTTCCACTCCAACCCCAATTTTTTTTTTTTTGTGAAGCTCCAGGAAACCAGACAGTTCTTTTTTTTTCTCCTCCTTATGAACTCTTTGCTTTATCGCTTTAGGCCATGCCAAAATCTGTAAGCTTAGATCTGGAAGGTTCCTTCATGTAGCTTATCCCTTGGTTTGCTCCCCCAGTGGAGGGATGGAGCTAAGCTTAGGATGGGCTTGCTTATACAAATTTACTCAGAGGGTGCATCTCCTAACTGATTTTATTGGAAACTAGAGTGTTTTGGAGAATTCTCTCATGTAAGCATTTGAGTGTTACACCAAATGTGGGGGATGTGAAGATGTTGTACACATAGCCCCAACCTAGAATATAGGTGGATATTGGAGAGATATATACCAAGGCCTGGGAGGGTGTGTGGAGAACAAGGGAAGAGATGGGTTCAGCTGTGGAAAATAATGGCATCGAATTAAGGAGTCTAGTTCTGATTTCTGATCCACAACATGAGCATGAACAAGTCCTTCCACATTTTAATGTCTTTTGCATGCCCTCCCCCACCTCTTAAATCAGCCTACAGATTTACTGAGCTTCTACCAGGTACAGGCGGTGTGTAAGATAAGATTCTTACCTAAAAGAAAGTTAGAGTCTGTAAACCAGGTGTTATAGTTAAATAGACAGAACAGCAGTATAACACATTTGAAAAGGAAGTGGTAGTAAATTTGTTACGACTCTTCCAAATCTTCATTGCAAAAATGAGGAAACTGAGGCCCAGAGAGGAAAGACTAAGTTCAAGGTCATAAAACTGAGTTAGGCAAAGCCAAGATTACTTCTTTGGAGCCAGTGATGAAACTTGGAACAGAACTAATGGCTCAGATGTTATAAATGGTTGTTATAGTTTCTTAGACTGACTCACAGAAGCTTACTTAACCCATGATGTGTAATGAGTGTAATGTATTTATGAAATCAAGTGTGCTTAGGATTGTTTGCATTGGAAAACAGTATAAAATTATACTTTTGCAACTGTTATTTAAGTTTTGCAGCATTGGAGCAAGTCCTATACACAGGGAAGTGAAATGATTTCAGAATTAGCCTGCTCCTATGATGAAGGCAAGGGAGTGGGGAAAGAGGCTAAGGGTAAGCACTGCCAAAATTGGTGGGGTGATGAAGAGTGAAGCAAGGAGAAGAATATATTTCTTACAGCTTGTTCTGGCCTTTTTCTCCTTCCCATTTTTTTCTCTTGTGTTTTTCTATTCCTTTTCTAAGACCAAGGTAAGGCCAAGGTTGTTTTCCAGAATGGGGCAGTTAAGATGGAGGAGGTTTGTGTTCAACTCCAGTTTTCCCAAGTCAAACATTTTGTCTGCTTTTTAAAAACCTCCATCTCTTACCCTACTTTTCTGAAGGCTTGGAATGGCACTAGAAGGTTTAATGTATTTTGCTTTGTACCCTTTTCAACAGAGATTAGGGGAAGCAGAAGTAGCAATATTTATATCAGATGATGTTTTTGCCCTAGGTTACCTTGCTTTTTAAATCTTTTCTCATTCTGGAATGTTCTTTCCTATCCCTCCTCAAGATGGCAGTTGAGAGGACAGTATACTACCAGTCAGTTCTTTTCAGGAAGAAGCAAACAGCTAAGTCATGTATGTATGCAAAGTTTAGTTTACAGAATTCTTTTATTTTGGATTTGCATGTGTCATATCTTTTCTTCACATCACCAGTTCAAGCAGCAATTCAAAAACCAGATCTCTATAGGTTGAGTATTGATGTTCTGCTTAGGGTTTAGTCATTATAAAACACATTTTATTGGAAATAAAAACCTTATTAGTTGGTAGATACTTGGTTTACCTTTATCTTGCTTGAGTATTGATGTTCTGCTTAGGGTTTAGTCATTATAAAACACATTTTATTGGAAATAAAAACCTTATTAGTTGGTAGATACTTGGTTTACCTTTATCTTGCTTCTTCCTTGTTACCTGATAAGAAAACTGTGGAGCTTATTTAATGCCATTGAGTATTGATGTTCTGCTTAGGGTTTAGTCATTATAAAACACATTTTATTGGAAATAAAAACCTTATTAGTTGGTAGATACTTGGTTTACCTTTATCTTGCTTCTTCCTTGTTACCTGATAAGAAAACTGTGGAGCTTATTTAATGCCATTGATAAGAGCCTTATGATGATGGCAGTTTTGTGCCTGCTCGTTTACTGGACTCTGGGCTATATTTTAAATCTTTGTTAACCAAGGAATTCAGGGCACTCCTAATTTATGAGCCCTAAGTTTGAATGTTTATAATGTTCATATCAGAGTCACCTGTGACTTAGGATGACATATCATTACTCTAGGTTCTGTGGAAAATTACATGAACACAGCCACCTTCCTAAGAATTCACACATTCCTAGGAGTATCTTTTAGGATTTTATGACCCAGTTGGGTGTGTCTGGAAGTTTGGTAGAACAACATAAATTTTGATAAACCAAGAAACTTATTTTTTAAAGATGTATTTATTTTGAGAAAGAATGTGCACATGCCAGAGTGGGGAAGGAGCACAAGGAGAGAAGAGAGAAGCTCAAGCAGCCTCTGTGCTGAACCCGATGCAGGACTTGATCTCAACCTGATATCATGACCTGAGCCAAAACCAAGAGTTGGACACCTAACCAACTGGGCCACCCAGACGCTCCAATTATTTTTTAATTTAAATGTTAATTGGAATATATGTGGTGTGTAAGACATTTTTGTTTGGTTTTGGGACAGGATGTTTCTGATGTAATTAGGGTTTTCTTTTAGCATTTGTCAATGGCAACCTCCACCATTATCAAAAAAGGAAGTCATTGGGCGCCTGGGTGGCTCAGTGGGTTAAGTCGCTGCCTTCGGCTCAGGTCATGATCCCAGGGTCCTGGGATCGAGTCCCGCATCGGGCTCTCTGCTCGGCAGGGAGCCTGCTTCCCTTCCTCTCTCTCTCTGCCTGCCTCTCTGCCTACTTGCGATCTCTGTCTGTCAAATAAATAAATAAAATCTTTAAAAAAAAAAAAAAGGAAGTCATTTACTAAATTGAATAAATTATGATCTTGGTAAGTGCTATAATTAAATTGTGAGGTGAAGGAGGTTAATATGAACTACCAGATGTGTTATTCTCTTCATCTTTTAGTAATACATCAGTACTTTCACATTGAATAATTGTGAAAAGTGAGAGGACAGTGTCTCACTTTTTCTTATTTTATTAAAGATTTTATTTATTTATTTGAGAGAGCGAGAATGAGAGAGAGTGAGCATGAGAAGGGGCAGGGTCAGAGGGAGAAGCAGACTCCCTGCCAGGCAGAGAGTCTGATGTGGGGACTCAGTCCTGGGACTCCAGGATCATGACCTGAGCCAAAGGCAGTTGCTTAACCAATTGAGCCACCCAGGCACCTAGTGTCTCACTTTTGTGCACCCTATTGGCAGGATAGGTTTCACTGTTGTTGTTTGCCTTGTTTAGTTTTCTCTTTTCCAAGGATAGAAATTTTTAGCTCCTTAGAAGCAGCCCACAGGAAAGGGAGAAATTGAAAATATGAGAGAGAGTGTGAGATGACAGGAGATGGCTGGGATGAACTCAGAACATGAATGGAATATTTATTCTTAGGAATTACATGGAATGTTTTTTACTTCTAAGACTATAGAGAGGGTAAGAGGGATGGATAATAATACCAAGACAATTGAGATCACTAGGAGGAGAGGTGAGAATTTGAGTATAGTGAAGGGATTGTGTCATCTGCTCTGACTTGGGGCCTTGATGGCCTATTGTGCTCCAAAGTTGTAGCAGAGGTTGGGGGTGGCTATATGGGGATTTTGGCAGATAAGATTTGCTGATAAATGTTCTCGGCTTTACTTTTTTTTTTTAAATTAAAATTTGGGCAGCAAGCCTAGTTATTGCATTAAACTCCATTTCAATAGGATTCTTTTCAACGTTTTTCT